CCCGACCTCCCTCGTCACTGCGCTTGTACCCCACGCCCACCACTTGGCCCCCTTTCCCGCTCGGCTGGCCTAGTCCCACCCTCTCTCCAAGGACCTGCTCCGAGGCTCTGCTTCGTCCCCGAATGACATTGAGGTGCCCACGCCCCAAAAGCACAGCCCACCTGGGCCCCTCTCCTCCATCGCTGGCCTTTTCCGTCTGCACCAGACGTCGTGGATGTGGCATCAGCTCAGCTCCTGAGGGGAGGGACCGTGCTTCATGCATCTTCGTGTCCTGGTTCCCAGCCCAGCACCTGGCTGAGGGCAGGCGCTCAGAGGGCTTCTAGGGGAGGAAGTGAGGGGGTGATCATGAGCTTGCAGGAAAACTGCAATTCACCTCTGCCCCAGCTTGGGGAACACCACCAGCACCCCATTAATCACAGGCCTGCCTTCCTGGACCAGCCCTTGTCCTCCATCTAGAATCTTCCATGAAGCACAGGGGCACTGACCCAGCCCCGTGGGGTCATGGTGCTGCTGCACTTTTCTCCCGGCTTCTTCTGCTCATCTACAGCTAATGGGAAGCTGTTAACTGGGAGCTCACATGCCCCTTCCTCTCCTTCTCGGCCCTTTGACCACCAGGCAAAACTACAGCTACTACAGCCGACACCCAGGCAGCAGCTTGGATTTCGAGCGGCCCCGGGGCTACCACCACCCGCAAGGCTTCCTGGAAGACGACGACTCGCCCATTTGCTACGATTCCCACAGATCTCCGAGGAGACGCCTACTACCTCCCACCCCAACATGTGAGGCCAGATCTTTTGTTTGGGGTGAAGCTTCCCAGAGACCATGGGCCTCTCCCCCGGCCCCGGGGGTGGTGGAAGGTGGTGATGGATGAGGAGCTGCCATGTCAGGGACCTGAGCCTCAAGGCCAGCCCCTGGTTGGAGACCCTGTCGGCTCTCCTGTCGCATCGTGCCCCGTGTGTTAGAGCTCAGACCACATCCGCGCTGCTCTGACTCCGGCAGCAGAGGAGATGGCATGCGGCCTGGCGTGGCCCAGCGTGGAGGGCCTGTAGGGGCTGTTTTGCATGTTTTCCTTGCCTTTGAGCTGGGGACCCACCCTCAGTGGGCAAGACGTGCACCCCTGCTGTTATCAGAGCCACTCTGGGGGTCGGGTCACCATCCTCAGGGCGGAGGGATGGAGCTAGACTTAGCGCAGGTCTGTTGTGCCAAGGCCCACGCCTCTGGGTGCAGGGTGCCTGGGGTTCCTGGTGTCCGCCTCCTCAGGCCACACCTGGTGTCTCCTTTCTCCCCTTTCCGCCCTCCTCCCTGTTGCCTTTGCCTCTGGTCTGCCAGGGCCCTCTGCCCATGGGGCAGGTTTGGGCCTGGGTGGTGAGCTCTGGCGTAGGATCCCATCATGGGGCCCGGGAATCCCCTCCCGCTGAGCAGGGTTTTCCTGTGCAGGGGGCATAACTGGCGCTGCCTGGGGATCTGGGTCACCCCCGGGGAGAAGCTCCAGCAGCAGCGGCCCTGCCAGCTCCCGGCTGGGCAGTTTGATTTTGGACATGTGGGCATTTGGACGATGGTTAAATATCCGCTTCTGGTGTTTCTAAGGAGTGAAGCATGTTTTTGAACAGGACTTTAATCAGTAACCAAAACACATCGGCTCCCAGTCTGCCAGCTGCACACACAATACCGACCATGGCTGGGTGGCGCCAGGGCCCTCTCTCTCTCCAGCGCCCACACCCCTGCTGGGCGTGCAATCAGACCCATTTCCATGGTTAATATTTAATTTTGCATCCTGAACACACAGCACTTCTGGCCTCCATAAATACTGGATGACGCACATGCAGTGAGCTGGGTAGAGGCCCGACCTGTGAGTCCATGGCCTTCCTGGGACCTCCCTTTGGCGGCTGCGTTAATGCCCGCTGTGCACTGATGCCGCCCCTCGGAAGTGAGGAACCGAGTGGACACGAGCAGCTGCCCTCTGTATTTGCAAATAAAGAAAATGTATTTTATTTGCTTTACTGCCTGCAGGTTCAGAGCTTGGCGGGGAGAGCATGGAGCTCCCCAGCCGATGTTCTCAGCCTCAGGAGGGTGACTTCCTCCAACAGAGACGGGTGTGACCAGAGGAGATGAAGTGGGTGTGTGTGGACCCCTTTTCAAAACCGAAAGGCACTATCAGGGAGAGAGGGGTGTGGTTTTCCTTTCCTGGCCCTGAGTTTCCACACACCCCCTTCCCCCCCACCTGATCCTAGGACGGGCTACAAAGGAGGCCTTCCTCCCTAGAACACTGTGAAATCCGGTCCCCGTGGTGCGTGGAGGGCGGCTGTCCCACGAGGAGGCCCCAGCACGCCCCGCAGTGCCTGTTGGGCCTTTGAGACCAGGAGTGCTGTCTGCCTTGTTCCTCTGGGCTTCACGCACTTGAGGGGCAGGGCCTCACAGAACCAGCTGGTGTCTGCAGTTTCCAATTCAGGAATTAGGGGGTGGCGTTTTGAGCAGGCCCTGTGAACTCAGGGAGCAGAGGTCACAAAAGGAGCTGCTGAGGAGACCGGGCCACCCACTGTCTCGGGGGACCAGGCGGGCTCCTGAAACACGCCCCCTTCCCGTGGCGGTTTCCTGGGGGGAGGCCTGTGGCCTGTGCTGGGGGACCCTGGACCAGATGGCTCTCCTGTGCCGGCGCCCCACGAAGCTGCAAGCTCTGGATCTCTTGCCCTTGCTCACCCTGTGCATCAGCCTCATTTCAAAGCGACAAGCACGTTCTTTAAAGTTCGAGTTGTTCTTTCGTGTTGTCCTCATGGTGGAGAAACTGGCTCTTCCCCAGCAAAAGGCTTTTCTCCTTGCCTGGCTGAGCCGATAGGTAGCGAGTCCCTCCCTTTAAGGCAGAGGTGTGAACGCAGGGGCTCCGGGAGGTGCCTCAGGCCCAGAGACGCTGAGGGAGCCTGGAGGTGGGAGTGAGCGGGCTGTCGGCAGGGGCCGTGGGTTCCAGAGCGAGGCTGCGCTCTTGCCTGAGATGCCTGGTCCCCACCACATGAAGGGCAGGGGCTGTGGCAGAACAGCTGGCACTTCTTAAAACACCTCAGGGGGCTTCCTCCTCATCCTCCCTCCATTGCTTGCTGCCTGCGCGGCTCCCCGCTGGCCTCGGGGGGCCACCGGGACTCCTGGCCCTGGTCCTGCCGGAGCTGGTTCCACAGCTGCTCCTGTGCTTCCCCCTCAGCGCATCGGAGATCCTCCTTCAACTTCGAGTGCCTGCGCCGGCAGAGCAGCCAGGAGGACATCCCGCCGTCCCCCACCTTTCCCCACCGCACGGCCCTGCCTCTGCACCTGATGCAGCAACAGGTGAGCCGGCCCCCGGGCCTTGCCCCGATGGCTCCATGGGCACCCTGCGTGGGACTCCCTCAGACACCCCCTTCCTCTTGGCTGCCAGCCCTAGGGGGAGGGAGAGAACCCTCCCATACACTGGGCTCCATTGTGTGACAGCCCTGGCAATAGACCCTGTCACCAACCCCATCACATGGATGAGAAAACATAACTGAGGGTAGGCGCGTGCCCGAGCCCCCACGGGAGGTGAGTCACCACGCTGGCATTTGAGTCCAAGGCTGCCACCTGCCATGCTGGGCTCTCTGTCTAGGCACCGACTTCTCCCCACGTCTCCCTCAGTGATGAAGACAGGGCCTGGGTGCAGCTCACAAGGTGGGAGTGGCGGCCACTAGACCACCCTGAACAGCCGGCAGTGCCCTCATTTGCTCTGAGAGGTTCTTGCTTCATTTACGGAGCCCTCTGCAGGCAGGGCTCTGTGCTCACGGGGTCGGTGAGCCCCCAATCCTGCCTGCGAGGGGAGCGTGGCCCAGGGAGAAGGACCCCTCCACAGTGAGAGCGCTGGACAGGAGGGAGTGGGGGCCAGGGAGAAGGACCCCTCCACGGTGAGAGCGCTGGACATGAGGGAGCGGGGGCCAGGGAGAAGGACCCCTCCACAGTGAGAGCGCTGGACAGGAGGGAGCGGGGGCCAGGGAGAAGGACCCCTCCACGGTGAGAGCGCTGGACAGGAGGGAGCGGGGGCCAGGGAGAAGGACCCCTCCACGGTGAGAGCGCTGGACAGGAGGGAGCGGGGGCCAGGGAGAAGGACCCCTCCACGGTGAGAGCGCTGGACAGGAGGGAGCGGGGGCCAGGGAGAAGGACCCCTCCACGGTGAGAGCGCTGGACAGGAGGGAGCGGGGGCCAGGGAGAAGGACCCCTCCACGGTGAGAGCGCTGGACAGGAGGGAGCGGGGGCCAGGGAGAAGCCGCTCATCAGGGCTTTGCCTCAAGGACATGGACTTCTTTCTGAAAGAGCACATCAGAGATGCTGTCCACTGGCGGGGGGGAGGGTGCAGGCGGAGGAGCTACCTGGTCTGGCGCCCGCTCTGAATGTGCGGAGCCGGAGCTCGGGCAGGTTTCCCATCCTGAGTGTCCGGGGCACGTGAGCGGCAGCTGCCATTTCTGATTGTCTATTTGCGTCTCTGCCGCTCCGTCCTCCTTTGTCCTCAGTGTTTACGTTCGTTTTGATCTGTGCCCTGCTTTTTCCAGGACGGAGGACAAGCCTGGGAAGGCCCAGGCCATCAAAGGCCACGATGCCTCCTTCCCTGCGCCCGGCAGGCCCAGCGGCTGTCTGCACGGCTCCCTGGCGGGCATGGCTTCCCTGAGGCCAACGGCCTGAGCTGCCCATGAGACTGGGCCGGGGTGCCCTGTGCAGAGCCGGGGTGCCACACAGGTGGAGAAGCAAGGCCTGTGCCCGGGGCTTCAGAGCAGGCAGGGGCGGCCGTGGGCACGTGCGCTAGAGCAGAGAACAGCTGGGCGTCCCTGCGCGCTTGCCCTGAATGTACTTCCACATTTCAACCAAGTGCCGGCTGCCGTGTTCACACGCCCGGCGTGTGTGTCTCCCCTGATGCTTCGTTGTTCTGAAAAAATTTCAGTTTTTCTTGGGAACAGTCATAGGAAATGGATTTGGGGGAAAAGAAAATATCGTCTGTTGGAAAGCCCACTTCCCACTGCCGATCACTTGATTGACTCGGCGCACTTCCACGGTCCTGTCCGGGGCCGCCCCGCAGAGCAGTGCCTCGTGCCGGGCCGCTGAGGACCCCGTCTCCCCGCTCCCTGTCTCCTCAGGTCATGGCAGTCGCAGGCCTAGATTCAAGCAGAGCCCAGAAGTACTCGCCGAGCCACTCGACCCGCTCGTGGGCCACCCCTCCAGCGACCCCTCCGTATCGGGACTGGGCGCCGTGCTACACGCCCCTGATCCAGGTGGAGCCCTCAGAGGCCCTGGACCAGGTCAACGGCAGCCTGCCCTCCCTGCACCGCAGCTCCTGGTACACGGACGAACCTGGAATCTCCTACCGGACTTTCACACCGGCCAGCCTGACCGTCCCCAGCAGCTTCCACAGCAAGAACAGCGACAAGCAGAGGAGCGCGGACAGCTTGGTGGAGGCCGTGAGTGCAGCTCACCCGCTGCCCAGGGAGGGCCGGCCGGGGACAGGCACAGCAGGGGTGGCGTCCTGAGAACCACACAGAGCAGGAGCGGGCGGAGGGCGGGAGGGTCTATACCAGGGGTCCTCAAACTACGGCCCGTGGGCCACATGCAAATACAAATATTGTATTTGTTCCCGTTTTGGTTTTTTACTTCAAAATAAGGTATGTGCAGTGTGCATGGGAATTTGTTCATAGGTTTTTTTTAAACTATAGTCCGGCCCTCCAACGGTCTGAGGGTCAGTGAACTGGCCCCCTGTTTAAAAAGTTTGAGGACCCCTGGTCTGGAGCCAGGCTACCTCGCTTCTGATCTGGCTCCACCATTTCTTAGCAGCAAGGATGGTGCCGACAGCATGAGTATAGACCAGTGATGGCGAACCTTTTGAGCTCGGCGTGTCAGCATTTTGAAAAACCCTAACTTAACTCTGGTGCCGTGTGGCATATAGAAATTTTTTGATATTTGCAACCATAGTAAAACAAAGATGTATATTTTTGATATTTATTTTGTATATTTAAATGCCATTTAACAAAGGAAAATCAACCAAAAAAATGAGTTCGCATGTCATAGGTTTGCCGTCACTGGTAGACCCACTAGTCACTGCCGAGCCCCATAAACAGCTGTCCCTGGGGTCACATGTGCTGTTCCTGCGACTGTTACCCGTTGACACTAAGAGAGTCTTGTCTTCCCCTGTCGGTTCCATTCTTGTTGGGCTATGTATAGCAGCGGTTCTCAACCTGTGGGTCGCGACCCCTTTGGCGGTCGAACGACCGTTTCACAGGGGTCGCCTAAGACCATCCTGCATACCAGATATTTACATTACGATTCATAACAGTAGCAACATTACAGTTATGAAGTAGCAACGGAAATAATTTTATGGTTGGATCACAACATGAGGAACTGTATTTAAAGGGCCACAAGGTTGAGAACCACTGAATTGTATAGTTTCTGAGCTTTGTGATATTTCAAAGCCTAAGCCATGTCCACTGACATGCAGTTACCATGCACGAGACCTGGCGAGCACGGCTGGCCGCGTGGTGCCCTTGTGCTTGAGGTGGGTTTTCTGTCCTTGTCCCCCCCGCAGAGCTTTTCAGCCCCATTCATGCAGTCGATCCTCTTTCCTGGGCAGGTCCTGATCTCCGAAGGCTTAGGACGGTATGCAAGGGACCCAAAATTTGTGTCGGCGACAAAACATGAAATTGCCGATGCCTGTGACCTAACCATCGACGAGATGGAGAGTGCAGCCAGCCACCGGCTGAACGGAGCCGTGCCCCCCGGGGCTAACGGGGACGTGAGCCCCGACGCGAGCCGCCAGGACTACGAGCTCCAGGACTTCGGGCCAGGTTACAGCGACGAAGAGCCAGACCTGGGGAGGGAGGAGGAGGACCTAGCAGATGAAATGATCTGCATCACCACCCTGTAGCCCCCAGCGGGGGGCGGACTAGCTCTGCCCTCAGGTGGGGTGCCCGAGGGCCAGGGAAAAAGTGCCTCATAGTTAGGAAAGTTTAGGCACTAGTGTGAAGCCCGTGTTCAGTTAGACTTTTGTGCAGGTGATGTCATGCCTTGAGAAAGCCATAAACCTGTAGGGAACAGCTGTGTTCAGAGCTGAGCCCCAGCTGTGGGGACAGCAGGTCCCGCCCATGCACGGAGGCCGGGCGCCGGGCAAGCCTGCCCTCTTGTTCACAGCCCACGCGGGGCACTTGCCCATGCCCCCCGCCCACAGGCACGGTGGGGAAGGTTAAAGGTGATGACGATCACCGTACCTGTGTCATTACCTCAGCCATCGGTCTAGCATATCAGACATTCACTGGGCCCAGCATCTCCCTCCCAGGCACCCTGCTTCCTGGCTCCTGTTCTGAAACACAGTCAGTCAGTCAGGGCTACGCACCAGCCGTCCTCCGCAGAGGGGAGCGGGACCCCACAGGCAAGGTCTTCTGTCCCGTGACACCAGTTTCCACGGGAGCGCGCCGCGCAGACGGTCGGTTTCTGACTGTCAGGCCAAGGGCAGCCGTAAACTGGAATCCTAATGCACTCGCAGCCAGGTCAACTTAGATACGCTAGTTTGTTTAAAACCTAGACTTACTGTACATGACTTGTAATATACGATCATTTGTATTTGTAAAGAGATGGTCTATATTTTGTAATTATTGTATCGTATTTGAACTGCAGCAATATCCATGGGTCCTAATAATTGTAGTCCCCCCCCCCACACTGAAATCTAGAAATCATTGGTATTTTTACTCATACTCCACGGAAGTAGGAGAAATTGAGCCAATTCTCATTCATTCAGTGAAAAATCTTTTGGGGGGTGAAATTTTAAGTTCAAAAGAACTTGACACTATATAGATTTTTCTAAAGTATTTTGAGTCCCTATAAGATACACCCAATGACCCTTTGTGGTCTTCTCCCTGGGCAAGCGTGCTGTGACTTGAGAGGGTACCTTTTGCTCCACCAGGGGCGGTGTTACTTTCACCCCCTTCCCCGTTAAGTTCAGGACAAGACCGACCCCGTGGCATTCCTCGTGCTGGGTTTTCTCACCTGGCCACACAGCACGTTCTTACAGGTGAATGCAGTCCCTCTGCTCGTGTCCCCGGGAAAGGTGAGGCAGCTTGTCTTGGGAAATACTAGTAAGGAACGCTGGGGTGGGGGGTGAAGGAAGCAAAGTGACGCGATCCTTAGAGGGTTAGAAGATTGGGGTCTGGACAAATAGTATCGTTGCCTTTTTACAAAACGTTGCTGTACTGTGTGTTCTCTCCGAGGGCTTTTTTATGCAACTGAATGAGGGCTGACGTTTTCACTAGAATGCACTCCCACTGCGATTGTTCTTCCCTTTGGAATCGCTAGACCCGTCAAGGCTTCCTTTTCTGTTCACGGAATAACGCTGAACTTTGTCGAGTTACCTTGGCAGGGATTCTCTGCAGTCAAAAAGCAAAACAAAAACAAACAGGTAGCAATTTGGGGGTTCAAAATTTTTAAATATTAAATAGACATCCTGTTAATGTGGATTTTCTTTTTTTGTAAATAACAATACTTTGTTATGAAGACCTTACAAACCTCTTCTTAAGACATTCTTACTCCAGATCCAGGCAAAAAACTCTCCAAGGTTTGTAAATGATTATTTCTTGACGTAAATCCTTTTTTTATTAAATGTAAAATGTTCTTCAGAAGAAAATTGCGTAATAATTTTATTGTATTTGGGAGCTCTCCTTGCAAAGAGCTGGCGTTTGCCAGTGAGAGCTTGGAAGGGGTGGGCACTCTGTGAGGGCAGTTCTGTAATTGTGTAGATTTTTTTCTTATTCTCGTCGCTCCGTCGATGCCTATGGTAACTTGATACCAGCTGCAGAGAGCACTGTTTCTCCTAAAGGGCTAAACCACTGTTACCATCTCCTCGGACTCTGTTTCTCTCTTAGGTATTGGTCTTATTGTGTGGCTTACCATCACCGGTCCAGCATTGCCTACCAGGACTGACTCTCCCGGGATAGGCAATGATGTTTTCCAGTCAGTACTTAAAAATGGGCATTTTTATGGGCTGCACCACTCCTAATCTCTGTCTGCTTTAAGCCTGGTTCAACCTCTCACCTAACATTAAATTTTTCTTTGTAAGAAAAATTTGAAGTTGTAGAGCATGTTTTTTCCCCCCTTTGTTTTAGGAAAGTTTTATGATTAAAAGTCTTTTCTTTTGGTTCCCCTTCCTTCCCCTAAAAAAAAATGTCACTTCGCTGTGTCCCCGGGAGTAGTCTTTAGTTTCTTTAACCTGTGTTTTTCACAGTATCACAAAATGGGTACGGCAGCTCTGACGTAACTATCAGCAAGCAGGAGCGTCGTTAACAACTGTCTCCATGGTTTCCATCCGGACTTGGCCGGATGGTGCTTCCCAGGTCGATTCCAAGATGTTGCGGCGTTAGCCCAAGGCCAGTGCACAGTGTGGGCTTGACCTGCTGGACAAGCCACATTTATTGCTGACCCCATGCAGGTGAAAGAAACCAGGGCCGCTTATTTCGTGTTGCTGTTGCTTTAATAGGCTACACCATGGGAGTAAGTGTCTTTGCCAATCAGCTGCTTTCCTACAAAGGTTTTTTGTTGTTATGACGAGCGGTCAGTCAATTTGCTCTAAAAAATGGTCACGCACAGCTCTGGCTCCTTTACACAACGACCCAGCTCAGCACAGACTCCAGCTACGCTTTCGTTTGTGGAAACGTTTTTCTCTACGATGATGTGTCTCGTCGCCTGGGGCCTCTGAGGGCAGGCAAGACTGAGGACAGGCCTGGGGCCCTTGCTTCTACCATGGGAACAAGCCGAGTGTGGTCTTGGGGACGGTGACAGGAGACGAAATGAGAGGACTGCCTGGGTCTCAAGACCGGCCAGTGAAGAGGTTGTGTGGTTTTTCCCCTGATTTTTAAGAGAAACGGATCTGGGTGTTAGATCTGATGTTGAGTTGATCAGTGGAAATGGGAAGTGACCTGTGGGTGGAGGGACGTGGTTTGGCTGGAGAGGAGCATCTACCTGAATGTGTGGAAATGCCGGTTCTTGCTGGTGCGCTGGGAAAAGGAGGTCGTTCTCCGGGCAGCTGCTCCTACCCGCATGTCAGCCCTCATTCGGTCAGGGAGACGGTCTGCTGATTCATCGGCCTAAGCACAGGCTTTTTCAGAGGGGTCAGCGCTCCTCAGAGCCTGGACCCTGGACACAAACACAGCTTTTATGCTTTTAAACCATTTTTTGTCAATTACATTTACTTTTTGTTTAGCTACTGCAGGCTTTTGCTCAGGGGTTTAATGGGCAGTCTACCCCCACTCAAAACAGACTCCAGCTACGCTGTCCTTTGTTAAAAAGCCTTTATTTCTCTAAAATGATACGCCTTGTCTCCTGGGAACTTTGGGGGGCAGGCGAGACTGAGGGGGATGTCTGGGGGCTCAGTGCGGCCCAGCCTCTGCAGCAGCCTGGCTGGCTCCTCGCCCCACCTCTGGTCGGCACCTTCTGCCCCTCTGGCTTCCTCAGACAGCAGCCCTCTCTCAGGCGGCAGGGTCCCCGTGGCAGTGGAACTTGCAGGCAGCCTGGTGGTGGTGACGTGGCTACTGCTCACTCTGCCCCGACGGCCACCGCGCTCGGCTGTCGGGACCCAGGGGACGCTGCTCTAAGTCAGAATATTCCATCCCCGGTCTGAACCCCTGTGGGTTTCTGACATGTGACTCTCAGTCTTTTAAAACTTATTTCTGCGATGGCTAAACTGTGATCGTAGGAACAAGGCCCTGAATGCAAGAGCGGGAAGGGGGCCGCGGATGTGTTATTTGCTTAACTTACAGCACAGCCACGGTAGCAACAAGCCACTGTCCTGGAGACGGGACCATCCCCAGGACACACGATGGCAGCACTGAATGGCCGTGCACCTGCCATACCAGCACCGAGGTCAGTGCCGTCACCCGGACCCCACGCACCTGACTTGTTCCTTCTTGGCCTTCGGAGCAGAGGGCTGGCACCCGCACTCACACCCACACTCCTGCTGCTCCTTCGCCCCTGCAGGTGGCTCCTAGGCCCCGAGGTGGCAGCCCCGGGCCACGGCGGCAGCCTCTCTAGGAGCAATCTCGTGGCAGATGTAGAATTTTCTTCCCTGACCCTTGCGTGGAACAGAAACTAAAGCAGGACGCGGGTACGACTTAATGGAAGGAGAGGGGGTTTCTTCCTCCGGCCTTTCTGGAAGGTCTTTCTCAGAAACACACGTGTGGCTGTCAGGCCTCCAAGCCACCTCCGTCCCCTCTGGTCCTGGGAGAAGCCGGAATGTCCCGTTTCCCTCCCTCCCTTATTCTGGGTCCAGCACGGCAGACGTCCACATAGCAATTCTTTCGTTCCCTGCCACAGACTGTGGCTTTGAATAACTTTAAAAACAATTCAAAAATGTATTTAGTTTATTATCTTGTAAGAACAGTCTGGAAAAGTTATCTCAGTTCAAAATAAATTATTGGATTACATTATTGAATTAGGAGAAATTTAAAGATCAAAGGACTGTTTTCAATGCTGCCTGTACCTGGCTTTCTTCCCACCACCCCAAACTCAACTCTGACCATTTCCTTTTCTCTCTCAATCGCAGTTTTGCAGGACCAGGCCGCAGTTTTACTGACCGCCTTTCCGGTCCGACGTGGCCCATCCTGCTCTGTTCCCGCGGACACCTGGAGAATAAGAATGAGCCGGCCTTGCCCAGCGCCGGGGGAAGTGTCTTCACGGCCTGGCATGGAGCGAGGTCTGGTATGTGGGGTTTGCTCTGGGTTCCAGGTTTCCTGGTAACAAGAAACTGGTCTAAAATGCAAAGTCGTGAAACCTGTAGTGGCGAGGGGTCTTTGCAGACACTTCTCTCCTTGAACAAGACCCAGAAATCCTCTTGTCAGGCTGACTGTGTGCAGTAAGAACCAGGCAGGGGGCTGCCGGTCCCTCTGAGCACCAGCTCGTGCCTCCCTCTGGGGGTGAGATCAGGCAGCCGAGGAGAGTGGAGAGGCTGGTGCTGTCCCTCACCCCACCCCGCAGGCAGCGCTCCCTCTGGACGGGCACTGCAGGCTTAGGCACAAGTCCCGGCTGCACCCCCTAACGTCAGCAGGACTCCTGGTCTCAGCCACAGCTCAGCCCAAGGTGGGGGTGCCCCCTCAGAGCAGACAGCATCCAGCCTCTGCACAGAGCCTGCTCTGAGGGGCCTGCCTTCAGAGGGGGGCCTGGGAGAGGACACCTTCCTCCAGCCCCACCAGGAAGGAGGAAGGCAGCAGGCCCCCAGGTTGGAGGGGACCCAGGTAGGAGCCGAGTCTTCCACAGGCCTCCTGCCGGAATGCTGGCCGTTCCCCAAAGGCCCACAGCACAAGGCAGGGGGAGAGGAGCCAGGCTCACTGACCGGACTGGTCTCACTTCTTAAGAAATTGTCCAGTTCTCTGCCATTGAACCCTAACATTCTAGAGAGTTTTAGGAAAGAGCATTTGGAGCGGGGGCTTCCCAGGCAGCGACTGCTTCAACGCTGGGTGGCCAGGGTCCTGGGTTTGTACACAGGGACGTCCTTGTCGCAGAGTGCAGGCCGCCCCCTCATGATGTCAGCTGCTTTCTCTGCGATCATGATCGTGGGGGCGTTCAGGTTGCCGCTGACCACACTGGGCATGATGGATGCGTCGACCACCCTGAGGTTTTCCACCCCAATCACCCTGGTCTGCGGATCCACCACGGCGGTGGGGTCGGAGGGCTGGCCCATCTTGCAGGTGCACGAGGGGTGGTAGGCGCTGTCCGCTTTGGCCCGCACAAAGGCGTCTATCTCTTCATCGGACTGCACGTGGCTTCCTGGCTGGAGCTCTTTTCCCCGGAACGGTGCCAGGGCTTCCTGGGCAAAAATTTCCCTGGTCAGCTTCACACAGTTACGGAAATCGTGAATGTCGGCTTCTGTGGAGGAGAAGACACAGGTGAGCGTCCTCTCACCATGCTGGCCGCGCAGGCAGACTCTGGGCCGGGAGAGGCTCCGTCAGCTGCCCGAGGGGAGACCGGTCAGGACGCGGAGGTCCCGGCCACCAGGCTGCTTGGGGCCTATCCAGTTCCTGCCCTCCCCACAGGCGGTGACATGCAGCCAAGCGGAGTCCCATGAAGCCCAGAGAGCATGCGAGACGGCCACAGCTTGCCTCAGAGGCCCCGGGTGTGAATCGGGGATCGGGATTTGATCCGCACGTTAGGAATCAGACCTCACAGCTTGCCTCTGCCACCGCGTGGCTGTGAGGGCCCCACACGTTATTACTGGGCATAACCTGCCGGGTGGGGAGCGCTCATCTCTGCTGTGTGCAGAGAGGCAGGCCGGGGAATAGAATTCGCTTTTCAAGGATGTTCAGTCACAGCAGGAAAAGTGCTCTGCGAGCTGTGTGTACACAGCCAGGCCGCCGCCTTGAACCTCCGGTAAGTTGCTTTGAAAGCTGCACATCTCTCCTTATGTGGTTACTTCAAGGGACCCCAGGCACCACACAGCAGCGTGTGCAAGAGTACAGACTAGAATGATGGGGCGGAGGGAAGACAGAGAGTGACTTGTGTCTCAGAAAATGTGGTTCAGGAACAAACCCACAAAGGCAGTCGTTCAGACAGTGACCAGCAGGCGCAGGCCTGGGGCACACAGAGGTGGCTGGGGAGTTACCTGTGGACAAGTAGTTGGGTTGCAGCACAGGGTGGTCCCGGGGGTTGGCACTTCTCAGTTTGAGCCAGCCCACACTCGTGCCTCGCATGGTCCCCACGTGCACCTAGGTGAATCCAGAGGGAGCAGTCACTTCCATCAGCCCCCCAACTCAGTTTAGAGAGGTCCCAGGTTCCCTGGGGGTGGGCCTCTATATCCAAAGCCAATAAAAGCAGCTATATTTTAGCATCTGCCTGCATCTTACCTGCCCACCCTCCACAGTGATTAAAAACCACCTTGCTGAATCACTCCTGCCTCTATAACTGAATGGCCAAAATTTTCAGGAGCTGGCAAACCCTGGGCAGAGTTGGTGCCATTGGTCCATTGCTAGTGCTCAGTACCAAGCGCATCTGCCCTCAGCTGAGACGTACTGAGCAGCTGCAGGGCGCGGCACAGGCTTGTGCACTCCCCACCCTGAAGGCCCTGCTGAGGGGGGAAGATGGAAAAGATGAGCCTGTCTGCTCACCTGGTAAGCCTCCTCCTGGGTAGGGACACGCCCGTGGTCAATCACTTGGGATGGCAGGAAGTGGAACTGGATGTCTGGGTGGGAGACCCCAGGCCGGCTCCTGATGAACCCACCTGTTTCCAGGTGGGCCGTGGCTCCATCCCCTGAGGATTGGAAGAGCAGTCAGAGCAGGGCATGTGGGCCGGCCTTAGGCCCCCGATGCTCCTACCTGTCCTTCCTCTCCCCACAGGTGGGCTCACTGGCACCACAGCTTCCAATGTCAGCTGCCTGTCTACCTGTCGAGTCTTCAGCTTTGCCTCTCCCCCCGACTCCACCACTGAGACTGGACTGTGAGGCCCCGTGTCCCACAGGTAACCCTAACCTGGCCTGTCCTGTACTTCTCGTGACCGAGCCCGCTCCCCTCTAACCTCTCACCACGTGTTGCAATCTCTGGCCCACCTAATGAGATGCCTAGTCCAGGCGCCTTTGCACGTACTCTTCCTGCCCCTCAGATCCCCTGGTCTTCCTCTCACAGAACTTAACATTGAGCATGATTACACGATTCTTCCCATTGTCCCCATCCGAGTGCAAACTGCCGGAGGATACCTGCCTCCTGGGACTCCTCACCCTCTAGCACTCAGTAAGTTTGTGAGGAACAGGTGCTGAGTGAATGAACAGGATTTCAAAGCACCATTTCCTGGCCAAACTCAAAGTTATGGAAACTCAGCATTTTCCATTTGTTTTTGTTTTTTTCTACCTTTATTTTTCTTTAAATCGTTATTGTTGAGAGTATTACAGATGTTCCCCTCTATCCAGTTCCTGCCCTGCCCCAAGCCTTCACCGCCCTATTGTCTGTGTCCATAGGTAATGCATGTATGCATATTAAATTCTTTGGTTTATCTCCACTGCCCCAGATTTGTCAGTCTGTTCCCTGTTTCCATGCCTCTGAGTCTATTTTATTCATTAGATTCTTTGTTCATTTATTTTTCTTTTCAGACTCAACTGTTGAAAGACGTGAATTTGTCTTTTTTCTGCTTTTGCTGTTTTTCTCTTGCTGCTTTTAAAATTCTGTCTTTAACCCTTGGCATTTTAATTATGATGTGTCTTGGTGTGGGCCTCTTTGGGTTCCTCTTGGTTAGGACTCTCTGCACTTCCTGGACCTGTAAGTCTATTACTTTCACCAGGTAGGGGAAGTTTTCTGTGATTTCTTCAAATAGGTTACAGTATCTTGCTCTCTCTCTTCTGCTTCCAGCGCCCCCATAAATGCGATTGATAGTACCTAGTAGTTTGCTTGCTTCCACTTCATTGTTTTTTTTCTGGAGGTTTCTTCTGTTCTTTTATTTGTGACGTTTCTTCGTCTCTGCATTTTGGCAGCTTCCCTGTGTTTGTTTCTATGTATTAGGTAAAGCTACTCTTCTCCTGAAACTGGCAGAGTGGCCTTGTCCAATAGGTGTCCTGTAGGGCCCAGGGGCTCAGCCTCCCGTCACCTGAGCTGGGCACTTTGTGCACACAGCCCACAAGGGGTGCACCTCATCTTGTAGTTGAGTCTTAATTGCTGTTGGCCAACTGGCTGTGAGGATCAGCTGTGACTGAGTGGGAGAGCTGCTGTGCAGGAGACAGCCCTATGGAGCAGGACTTGCTTCGGTGGGACTTCGGTGCTCACTGCGTGCCCGTGAGTGTGCTGCTTGTGGGTGTGTAGATATAGCCTGACACGGTCTGAAGCTGTCCAGTGGGTGCACTGGCTCTGGGGTCTCCTGAAAGGTGCAAAGTCAGCCGCTGCCTGGGGCCACCTTGCAAGAGCCACAGAGCGACCTACAGGTGGCCGCCACTTGTGTTGGGTCCGGAAGTGCCCAGGTGAGGCCACACTGTCTTGGGCCTCTTGTGGATAGGTACTGGGCATGCTGACACCAGCTCTTGCTTGCTTGAGAGATTTTAGAAAAGTCTGATCCCTAAGCCATGACAGGCCATTCATATGGAAAAGCTGCTGCAAATTGAATGTGGCGGGGTCTCAGGGAATCACCAGAGCAAACGATGTAGGCTAAGCTGTTGGAAACTCAGATATCGCTGCCAGTCAGCGCTGCAACGGAAGGTCTTAGCACAGGAACAGTGACCCCTGTGAGCACCCCTGAGTTCTTGCTCAGAGACGAGGCAATCCAGTTCCTCCCCGTAAGTCCCTGGCTCCCCCAGAGCCAAGCTCAGATGGAGCGAGTCTGTGTAAGTTCATGTGCTGGCCCTTTAAGAGGAATTGCCTCCTTGTCACTCAGCCACAATCCCTGCTGGTTTTTACAGCCCAAAGTTACAGGGGCTTCTTCCTAGCTCTAGAACCCTGGGCTGGGGTCTGGCATGGGGCTGGGACCCCTGCTCCTCACGGGAGACCTCTGCAGCTGAGCTATTCCTCCCAATTGAAAAAAGGCGCCACACGTGGGTGTCAGACCGGCCGTTCCGTGCCTCCGCCCCTCCTACCAGCCTCCCTGTGCTGTTTTCTTTATTTCTCTAGTTGTAGGACTTCCCTCAGCCAACTTTCAGGCGGTTCTGAGTGATGTTCTGTATTTTAGTTGTAATTTTGATGTGGTTGTGGGAGCGGCGAGTACCACCTTTACCTATGCCACCATCTTGGTTCTCCTCTACTTTCTCCATTTGTTTTCTAACTAAGCAATGGGTGCTGACTCTATAGTCCAGCACCAAGTGCCTTTTCTCCCGGCTCCTTGGCCACCCCATGGTGTCCCGCACACGGCCATCCCCGTCCATCTGAGGAGTCTCCCCCGGGTCAGGCCCTGTGCTACTGAGTCTGGTCCACACACCAGCCCGTCAGGCAGGAACTGTGTATCCCATTTTTCAGATGGGAAAGCTGAGGCTCAAAGAGCGGAGGCCAATGGCAGAGCTCAGCTTCAAACCAGCAATCTGGGGCCAGAGCCCTTGCTCAGCACCTCACGATGCCCACAGACCATGTCTACCCACCTGTGAACTTCCAGAGCCACTCCAGACCAATCTGGACCTTCCTCAGGGGCTTCTGCGCTGCGTGGAGGGTGATGGGACGGGTGCATGCCTGCTGGATGTATATCTCCAGGTGGTCTTGCAGGTTCTGACCAACTCCTGAAATAGGAGGGAGTGGTGAGGAGCAATGGCTACCAAGGGGAGCTTAGCTGACCTCTTAACATCCCCCTGGTTTTGAAAACTTCTCCCCTACCCATTTATCTGCAGGCCAGTTCCTGCTCAGGTGCCGGGTCACCTCCCAGGGACACCATTCCGCACTTCTGGCCAAGTCCAGCCCTCGCCGATGTTGCCAAAGCCACCCATCCAGTTGCCTTCCTGCCAAGCAGCACCCTCCCTGAGGGCAGGGCCCACGTGTGCAGCAGGTTCTGCTCAGGAAGCTGTCACTGAACAGCCCCAGCCTCACCCCTGGCCGGGGGAAGCAGGCCCCCTCATGCTGTGCAGACCTGCATGAGCTCATCCAAGCTCCAGGGGATGCTGGGCAGGTCAGTCATGGCCCAGCCCTTTCACAGACCCCTTAGGAGGAAGCCTCAATGCAGAACGGCCAGGCCTCTGGGAGCTTGGGTTATAAGAGAGGGCAAAAGGGACAGGCCCCAAAGGGCATCCAAGACAGTTTGTAAAATAAATTTCAGGCCTAGAGAACTGTCTTCATGTGAGAAGCATACCCAGGAGCACTGAGTTAGCATCTTGAACATCAGAGCAAGTGGGGAGGACTGGGGACGGAAAGCACAGAGCTGCCCTGGTGACCTGCTGAGCCTGGCCCAGGAGCTTTACGGGCAGATGCTCCCTGCCACAGGGCCTCGCCTCTCAGTGGGACAGGATGGCCAGGGACGGGAGGAGAGCAGCCCAAAGACTTGGGGTCCCAGGGGACCTTCAGGCTCATGAGAAGTGGGACAGTTCTGAAAAGCACTGACTCCTGTCCCCTCCCCAGTCCATACTAATAAAATACAATAAACCGTCTGTTTGGCAGAGACGCCTCCAGGAGCAGTGGAGGAGGAACTCACCCGGAAGGTGGCACACCACGGGGATGCCCAGCTTCTTGAGGTCGTCTGCGTTGCCGACGCCAGAAAGCATGAGCAGCTGCGGGGAGTTGATGGCACCTCCACTCAGAATCACCTCCTCGCTGGCATAAGCCTGGAAGAGGCAGTGAGCCCAGCAGGTCACACTTCCCTTCCCAAAGGCAGACAGAACCCGAGAATGTGGCCTCGGCGTGGGAAGAGGGAAGAGGATGCCCAGGGTGCTGTGTGAAAGCTCCCCACATGTTCGGCTCTCGCAGGCACAAATAAATCAATAAATTATGATTATACTCTGAAATACTCAGCGACGGCCAGTTCGTAATGATGGTCTTAAAAACAGGACCATGGGACTTAAATGAGAAACCACACTCGAATGAGCGGTTTCCATAAAGTGAGCAGTGGGATGCAGGACATCCTGGCACACTGCAGAAATACGGAGTATGAGCACAGGTACGGTTCTTAAAACCTATCAACTTGCGAAAAGGTGTGGAAGGTCCGGGGACAGCACCGAGGTGGGGAGCAGCAGACAGGCTCACAGGGGCACTTATCCGGGGCACAACAGGCTCTGCAGGTGTCTAAACTGGCCTCCACCCCCAGCTAAGCCCTGCGAACCTTTCAGGCCATTGCCACCCACTGCCCACGCCCCACCACAGTGCCAATGGAGACGAGAGCATGAAAACTGCCCATTCTCGCCCGCCATCGGGGGTGCCTGGCTCACCCTGTGGCTCTGGCCGTTCTTGATGTACTCCACGCCCACTGCGCGGCTGCCTTCAAACAGCACCCTGCTCACAAACGTCCGGGTCTCAGCGGTGAGGTTGGGGCGGCTGAGTGCTGGGTGCAGGTACGCACAGGCTGCACTCCAGCGCTTGCCTGCAGGACAGAGCGAGGATTTCAGGCACAGCCCCTCGCCCCTGCCCAGGTGGGGAATGGGAAGGGGCTGGAGAAAGGGGGAATTTGTCTTTCCCTGACAAATCCGGGGTCTCCCCGGAAAGCTCTGCCTTCCAAGTACGGCTGAGACCAAAAGCCCCTGTCCACGGAAACCCACGTCTGCCTGGGCCCCCTGGGTGTCCTGTGCCTGCTTCCCCATCTGTAAGTCTCTGTTTGGCCCAGAGAGCCGACTCCATTATCCAAACCCTCAGGGGCCAGAGACCCAGAGGATGCCCACGGTGTCACGTCCCCTCCAGCTCAGACCAGCCCCAGGTGTCCACACTTACTGACCATGATGCGAGCAGGAGGGAGGGGCTGTAATAGTAAATTTTTTTCTCCAAGGAAGAACCAGGGAGATGGGGGTGGGCACCTTACGCTACCTTTGTGGATGGTCATGTCCATCCAGCCGAAGCCTT